AGCTCTGCCAGCCTACCAGGGAGCTAGCTACACTCTACCAGAAACACAGACCCTCCAACATGTAAGCAAGCAGGAGCCTGGGCTCCCTCAGCTCAATGCCACAGCAGAGGAGTTCAGACCAAGCCAACAAGATCCCTTGCACGTGACATGGCAAAATACCCTCAGCCAACAATACGCCGAAGGAAGTTACCAGCTACCCATGGTGCACGCCCCCACTCACGGAAGGGATCCACCATCTCCACCAAGCTACAGCCCGCACACAGGATCGATGTATCCCCCAATGTATATTGGAAGAAGATTGGACTTAGCAGCCAGAGGGGTACGGAAATTCTCCGACAAAGCTGGAAGAGACTACTTGTGGAAACATATCTTCAAGCACGCCATCAACGAAGAAAAGACTGGGCCAGGTGAGGAACTTGTTCAGCTGACAGTATGGTTAGGCCCAGAATCTGTAAACACTGTGAACGACATCTTTGCATCCCATTTGGGCGACCCCAACATCGGCCTTGCAGAGGCTTGGGCCGCACTTGATGAGGACTGTGGTGATCCCTCAGTGACGGAGTCCTTGCTTCTGGACCGCGTTCTTAATTTCCCCGACATAAGAATCAACGACCACAAACAGCTGAAGACTTTCTCGTCACTCATTACTCAACTACGGTCAGCACAACAGGACCCTACCTTGCCGGGATTAGCTTACCTCGACCTGCTTAGAATACAAACTTCTATCATCCAAAAACTACCACAGTTGATATGTGAACAATGGATCGAATTTTCTCAAACTTACGGGGAAGACAATCAAAACAAAATTCCCCCCCTTCGTGGCTCTTGCTAAATTTATCAGCAAGAAGGTTAAACTCCACAATGACCCCCTGTACCTTCCCGTCAGAGAAGCACACTATCCGACGACTGGGCGAAACAGTCACAGCCCTGATGTAACAAAGGGATCTGGCCAAGCTACGGACAGAACCACCCCTTCAGACATCACGCCTCCCCCAAAGAAGGCTCCAGATGAACAAACACCGAGAAGTGTTCCTTTGAATCCGCATCCAACTACAAAAGGCCTAACTTGCCCAATGCACAAGTCTTCTCACTCTCTAAATGATTGCAGAGAATTTAGGAAAAAATCCCTAGATGACTGAAAGACCCTACTCAAAGAGAATAGGATATGTTTCAAATGCTGTGACTCTATGGATCACACGGCCAAGGACGCACAGCTAAGGTGAAATGCCACCTGTGCAACAGCGACAGGCACCCAGCAGCCTTACACCTAGAACCTAAGACGCTGTCTAAGGAGTCACGACAAGCAACTAGCTCTACACCAGACTAATCACTGACCGAGTCCTGTTGCTAAAGAAGACCAACTTAGACAATTGAACCTCTTCAGCTCTGGTTATTCCTGAGTTTCCAGATGTTCCTGATCCTGATTCTTCAGCTCCAGCTGTTCCTGTGTTTCCAGATCCAGCTGTTTATGTCTTTACAGGTTCTTCGGTTCCTGAGTATCCTGTGAATCCAGTTCCCCTCGTTCCCGAGAAGCTTGGGTTCCAGTTTTTTCTGTTCCAGATTTGGTTCCAGTTTCCTTCACAGGAAGAAGAAGACCTTGTCTCACTGGGAGACAAGACTGCATACCAGAACTATTGGCCCATGGGACTTGCGCACCGGGCCCACCCACCTGATGAACTAGTTTACCCAGCTGAGATCGAGATCGTGAAGCCACGTGAGTCAGGTTATGACTCAAAGACACTTGTACCAGGCTGATTACCGATTTGGTCCCATTGCTGATGAAGACTGAACCAGAAGATTAAACCTCAAATTATGTATTGTCTTATGCATTGTTTGATGTAACACTTGCTTATTCTTTTTAGCATAATCGTGCATGTTTTATATTTACCAATAGTTATGCATGTTTGATACCAAGTTTTTACCTATTTAGTCACAAGTTAGTTAACAATGAGTATTGCATGCCTTGATGCTATGTTTTTACTATTTTAGTAGTGGAAATATAAATTTCCAAGCAGGGAGTATTCTGGCCCATATGGCTCTATGGACCACATAGCTCTATGTTGGAATGTCTGGCAGTTATTGGGTTAAATGCTACGTATGTGGATGGGTCAGAGGGAGGAGTTCCAAAAGTCATTGGGAGACTTCCTGGACTCAAGCCACATGGGAATCTCTTTGTCTGTAAGAAGCATGGGCCATGGAAGGTCACACAATAAGCCTGAGTCATTATAAAGATGGTATAAAGAGCAATACTTTCTTACCTAAAGGGATGATCTAAAAGATGAACAAAGATGTATTTCCAGCAGCACCAATCACAACGTGAACGCAAGTAATCTTTCTCATTAAAATATATTTTGTTTATTATAAGATCGTTTCTTTTGAGTTAACTATCTGACTGGATTTAAAAGAGAACACTTTAAATTTGGGTCAGAATATGCCATGTGTTGTTTGTTTTTTGCATAGCCATCCCAACTTTCTTTCATTTCTTAGGCACACTGAGAGATGGTGACTATCCCAAAATGGTAACAGATTGGTTTCCTAGTCTTAGCCCCTCAGGGGTGCTAATTCCTTGTTTGTCTCAGTCAGAAAATAGCCAGACTGATAATGCCAGACTTCACTGTATTGCTTGATTATATTTTTTATAAGATAACGGTTTGATTTAATGCACATTCTGGATCTGGATCTAATTTTGATAAGAAATAAAAATGGATCTTTTATATTTATATGTTTGTAACAGCTAGAGACTGAGCCTGTAGGTTGAAAGATTGGGGGACTCAACCTTCCTCTCTCAGAAATCCACTATGTTTCACATTCCCAGGCTTACTTTCCTCCTTTAAGTGCAGCTTCTTGATAATTACTGTAGCAAGCATCTATATGTTTAGGGGATGGCTTTATCTTCTAATCTCTTCTTAACCCTAAGATACAGGACAAATAGGGATCCCTGAACACACTAGTTAATAGACCAGGAATAATAATGGTAGTAATGATTGTGTTAATAGAAATGAAAAAGGAAATTAAAATCTGCTCTTTATACCTCTGAGACAGGTGACCACAGAAAACAGTTACCCCTTCCTTTTTGTGAATGGAGGCAGAAAAGCACAAGGTAAAATTAAAAAAAAGTATTAAAAATAAGAACAATAGAAAACATCTTATAATCTTAGGTAGTCAAACTATTAAAACTTTTACAAGTAAATAAGGCGCCAAGCAGCATAAAATCACATCAGTCTCCAATAAAAAGCAGCAAGAAGACTGGTCACAGATTCACAGGAAAATTTTGAAGTAGAAGTAAACACAAAACTTGAGTTTGTACTGCATTTCAACAAAAAAAGTAACTAGAGTCATCAAGATGCCAGAGATAATAAATCTGTTTAAAACATAAACAAATCAACAATTCTGATTACAAGTCCTCTACTGGAAACCTTTACCTTTGAAACAAAATATTTCCCCAGCAACCCTTTTCTTGAAACATTTGTTCTTCCTAACCAATAGGAAGGCTGATTAACATATTGTCAGACATGACTTACTAAGAAACAATGGTGTTCCTGTTTGGGAAGATTTGTGTATCTGGAGAATGAATTGTAGCAGGGGAAAGCCTGTGTCCAGGATTGCCTATCTAGGCTGATTCTGGACTGAATGGGAAGCTTCCCTAGTGAATACAATATTATTTTATATCAGTTGAGGGAAGTCAGAGCCCCAGAGAAGGAAATATTAAAAGGGCAGAAAAAATATATTTTTCCTCAAAAGGATTTTTAAAAGCAAAAACCAACCCTGTCCCCAAGTCTCTCTGTCTCCAGCAGGAGCCAGCCCTATACAAATGCAAATGTAAAATCATCAGAAAGCTGGAGCCAGAAGACAAAGACCTAAAATCTGCATATCCCACCTGAGATGGGACATAATAGGACTAACCCATTACCATCAAGTATACCAGAGAGTCACACCTAGACTCAGGTCAGAATACGTGACACAGGAAATAGCCTCAAAGTTCATGCCACAGGAACAGGAAACTATTCCAAACAAAAGGCTAGAGAGTATAAAAACCTACTGCCCATGTTCTCAGGTCCTTCTTTCCTCTGGTCTTTCCTGCAAAAACCACCTTTCTGCGTCTTCAATAATTTGTAACCTTCTTCCCAAAGCAGTCACCATGTTGTTTATTTATCCCCGGCTTGGATGAACCAGGATAAAGACTTTACTTCGAACACAGTCATGTAGAGAAATGCTAGCAAAGCCTATTCATCAAATGTACAGGTAGTCCTTGACTTACAACAGTTTGCTTAGTGACTGCTTGATGTTACAACAGCAGTGAAAAAAGTGATTTATGATCATTTTTCATACTTATGACCATTGCAGCATCCCCATGGTCACGTTATTTACATTCAGGTGCTTGACAAGTGACTCACATTTATGATGGTTGCAGTCTTTTGCGACCTTCTGACAAGCAAAGTCAATGGGGAAACCAGATTCATTTAACAACCATGTTATTAATTAACTGCAGTGATTCACTTAACTGTGGCAAGAAAAGCCATAAAATAGGACAAAACTCATTTAACAAATTTCTCACTTAGCAACATAAATTTTGGGCACAGTTGAGGACTACATGTATTACATACACTCAAGACACAACATAGCTCTAAAATGCAGTATGGGAAGTAACTACTAAGCTTTTGTCCTCATTTTTATGAGTTCTCATAAAAATTCTATTTGTGCCTGGAAAGGCTTTAGTCTCACTAGTGGAGCTCTTCTTGTGTTCTTTACAGATTTATTCTATTGTGTCACACCCTTTTTTACATAACTGTCTAAAATTAGAGGCTGGAGATGTGCACAGGGAGAGATGGAGAAAATTCAGTGACCATTCTTGAATAGTATTCATTTAAATCTCTCACTTGTCTTTTGCTGAATTTCTGAGTCATATGGTTTAAATTTAATTATGAAAACTGTTAAGGAAGAGCAAAGTTAAAATGCCGCATACTAAAAAGAAACCATTTAATGATCTTTTATTTCTGCAGTGTTCATACATCCCCCCCTGCGAACGGGAAAATGAGAAGAACTCTGATATTGTAATGCACTGGCAGGTTTATTGGGAAGTTGAAGTAGGTTCTCAGCCTTTCACTTGCTACTTTAATCAGCACCTCAGGTAAGTATTTTCGCATATCTATGAGTTCATTTGTATATATTATCTCCACTTTCACTGTCTTTTTGGTACCTTTGCTTGTTTGCACAAAATTTGAAGATAGAGTTGAGCTAAATCAGGGCTCAGGTCTAAACACAACCTTGCCTCCTTGGAAGTCAAACTGCTAGATTTTGCATAGATGAAGGTATATTTCTGGTTGCTATCCTGAGTTTAGGACATCCCCCCCCCCGTATAAAATTTAATTGGCTTCTGATCTTTGAGAACAGAACTTTGTAGTAAAAACAAATAAATAACCATTTGTCTTCCAAACATATTAAAATACTTCTACTAGTAGTAACAATAATGAAAACAGGAAAGTTCTTATATTCCTTATTGGCCAGGAAGTTAAAATGAACAGTTGAAGAGCAGAATGTTGCTAATGTAAAACAAAGATGACAAATAGAACAGAACAGAAAAAAGTGACTTATGACAAATAGAACAGAACAGAAAAAAGTGACTTATGACCATTTTTCACACTTATGACAGTTGCAGCATCCCCATAGTCACATAATCAAAATTCAGATGCTTGGCAACTGACTCATATTTATGATGGTTGCAGTGTGCCGGGGTCATGTGATCATCTTTTGCGATCTTCTGATGAGAAAAGTCAATGAGGAAGCCAGATTCACCTGTTACTAATTTAACAACTGCAGTGATTCACTTAAGAAACGTGGCAAGAAAGGTCATAAAATGGTGCAAAACTTACTTAACAAATATTTTACTTAGCAACAGAAATGTTGGGCTCAATTGTGGTCATAAGTACCTATACCATTTTTTGCAGCTGACTATTATGATATTATAGGTCATAGCCACAGGACTTAAGGAGGTGGTCTAAACCATAATCTTAGTTGATTACAGCATAAACTCCTTGGAATGAGTATACCATTCATCTGGAATAAATGGCAAATCCCTAGGATGAAATTTAGAGTAAGATTCATGGTCTTCTGACTCTAACTAAGAGTATAAACATACCCTGGCAACATCAGGCGGCATCCAAAATTAATAAATCATGATCATCATTATCATCATCTATGCTGTATCCTCATAACATTGTTTTCATCATTTGAAGATTTTGGAAAAATCTGGCAACTCACCAGGAATTGATGAAGCTGTTTCTGCTCATCTTGAACAACACAAAGACAGGCATAAATGTGGCTAATTCATTTTTCTCAATATTTCTTAGCTCTTGTCTTTCCTGGTTTTAACTTTAGGTAAAGATTTGTAATGTTAAAAAAGGGAGGAAACATCCTACTGCTGGATAAAACATCAACTTCTAACCAACACTTTATTTATTTAGAATTGGTTCCTGTGGTCCAATTAGACTTTCCCAGAATAAAATGGTCAACTGCAAGTCTGGAAAGAGGAAATGCAGAACAAAGGAGAAATGTTTGAGTTTCCTCCTTTAAAATGGCTGCATTTCTGTAAATGGGTTTGCCATCTGCACTGCTGCTCCTGAAGTGATGACATGGGATGGGAATGGTGGAGGAAATGTCCATGAAGAAGAGGAAGAATCTAGAGAGAGTTGATAAGTGCAGGGTGCACCTTATGTACAAAAGACTGTTGACAACAGATAGGTGAGCGTAGCTTGACTGAAGAATATCCGAAGGAAGAGGTCCAGAGAATGCCAAAGGAATATTTGGAAAGAAATCATTGCAAGGAGCTTGGCAGTGACTGCAGTAATAGCATCTGGAAAATGTAGTAGCCAAAGTGACTCAGTTGCAGCATTCGAAGCCACGTGACAGATTGGGGGGAGGATGGAAATGCAGGGAACAGCTTATATCCCTGGAAGTCTTACAGAAGCCCAGAGCATCTACTAGCCTTGGAAAAACCCAGCGTTGGCAAGACTTAGAAAGGAGATGCAGGGACCTGGCAGAAACTAAATATGCACTGCAAGACCTGAAGTATAAGCAGCAAGCGAGAGTTAGATGATTCTAGAATTGGTGCAGCATTATGACTGCTTCAATTTGCAGAAATGCAACTATTAATTGACTTCATGAGTCAACTAGTCCTCCAGTTGCTCTGAAAATTGAAAAAAAAAGCCACTGTGTATTAAAAGGACCTGACTTGGCTTACCCTTTTGTGTTACATTGTTCAAACATTGGTTTGGGACCATTCAGAGACAGAAGAGACATGAGAGAATGATCCTCTTGTGATATCCAGATAGTAGAATTACAGCACCATCTAAAAGGAATCATATGCTGTGAAGTAGGAAGTTAAAATTCTGAGTCTAATTGTGGGTTCAGTAATTTGCTATGGTAATGGATCATCAACTGTTGATTTGGTTTCAGAAGCTTTTTGAACACTGTCTGAAAAACTGTAGAATGGCCAACATGAATTGGTGCAGCTGTCTGGTGACATTTTAGAAAGCCTCAGAAACATTGTGACAGTGGTCTGTGCTGTTTGAAGAAATGTGTGAGCAGCCTTGGGAAGAAGGCCTAACCCGGCCAGCATCTACCTTACATAGGGCCAGGCTGGGTATATCTCATCAGCAATAGGAGAAAGATAGCAAAAGTCATTTGGGGCAGCAATGCTGATAGGCAGCAAGGCAGCAGGATGAGTGGAATGTAGGGCAGCAAGGGTAGAAGGAATGGTTGGGTTTTTGTGCTATGCTCATCACAGATGAGGCTTGAGTGGTATTCTCAGTGGCACTGGGGCTGAAGTAGAAGCCTGGGGGTTGGTGGTGGCTGGATGAAACTACTGAAAGCCTTGGGCCTCTCCTTCAGCTCCAGCACTGCCACTGCTGCTGAAGAGTACCACTTTGCAGGAAAATAAAAGGCCGGGGGGGGGGGACAGTTGAAGAGCCCTGGCAGTTGTAGGTGTGAGCAGGCTGCCAAGTGCCTGATCACAAGACTGTGGGGGCACTGCAAGAGCTGTAACTTCAAGGACCAGGTATAAATACCATTCATTCAGTGCCGCTGCAACTTCATATGGTTGCTGAACAAATTTGGTCATAACTCCAGGACAACCTGTAATGGTACTCCCTGTGACTTCCTATGGAAGTGGCAGTTGGACTTTGAAGAAGCAGGATAGGAAGAGTATTGCATTGGAGAAGACTCCTGAGAATACCAAGGACAGCCAAGAAATCAAACAAATGGATCATCGAACAAATCAACCCTGAATTCTCACTCAAGGCTCAAATTATCCTGCTTTGAACAGGATTTCCTAGAGCAGTGGTTCTCAACCTGTGGGTGGGGACCCCATTTGGGGTCGAATGACCATTTCACGGGGGTCACCAAACAACGCAGTCCACCATTTTTTCCCCCTTTTCCATAGCTGTGCTACTCCCTTTTGAAAGCCAATAGAATAGACTCTCTTGAATAGAGTCTAATTCTATTGGCTTTCAAAAGCCAATAGGAATTGTCCAGGCTGTCTCTGCCCTGCTGAGCCCGCCAAAAGTCCCATTCTGCAAACGGTGCTGCATCAGTTGAGTAGTCCTCGACTTATGACCGGTTGAGTAGTCCTCGACTTACGACCGGTTGGCGGTCGCGGCATTAAAAAGGTTGAGAACCACTGTCCTAGAGAAAGCTGTAATGCTGGGAAAGATGGAAGGAAAGAGAAGAAGAGGATGGCTAGCAGCAAGGAGGAAGGACTCAGTTACAGTGACTATGCAACATTGGAAAACCTGAAATATCAGATTAGGAGTAGATCACATGGTATCTATTTGGTTGTTAAGAGTTAACACTGACTTGATGGCACCTAATCCACTAACCAACCAACCAACCAACCAATCAATCAATCAGAAGAGCTGAACTTCATGAAACTTTATGCTTTTTAATAACACTTGCTAGTCAGAAAAGGTATTACCAGAGTCTTGATTTTTGCCACTACAGACTAACATAGGTGGCCTCCCACTGGCTAGCTCTTTTGTGACAGTGCTCACAACATAATCTCAACATGCAAACTATGCCCACTGTTGCTTTCCTACTCCTATCCTGAGATTGAGACTCACAAAGAGATCCAGGAGAACCTTTTAGATGACCAGAACCTCCATTGTGCCTGGGTCGTAAGATCTGCCAAATAATAACAACATTATTTCAGCTCTTTTTGTCTGGATTTAGCTTTTTCCTGAAATAATTCTCAGTATACAGTACACTTTGGTGCTTTTATATTGATTTATCTGTTTCTCCAAAAAAAACCTCCTGAACCCCTTCAGGAATATTCCTTTTCAAAAGCAAACAGCCAACAAGAATGCAGTGCTGAGGGATGATCTGCAACAAATACTTGGCTGCAGAGCTGGCTTATTGCCTTGGTCTTAATTACTTTGTGATCTCAATGTTGGAATTGATTGCATAGGCTTCTGGTTAGTTCAGTCTTGAACCCCTTGTGTTTTATACTCATGAACTACATTCTGCTGGCAATGACATTTTAGCCTTTTGCTTCTGGCATGTTTCCCTTTACTGAACAATAACTTATAAAAGGGAAGCGGAGAAAATTCATAATTGAAAATATACTAAACATAGTTGAGTTGGAAAGTTAAACTGTCTTTGGGGAGTTAGTGGGTGGCAAATACAGCCTCATCAGACTGTCTTTCAGGAAATAGTCATTTTGTGACTGACCATTTTTGCAACTATTCTGTTGATGGGCAACCAGACACTCACAACAGATGCAGAATTCAGCAGCAACCCTATAGCTCAAAAAGGTTGGAGACTTCACTGTAGGTAGCATGGCCTCTTGGCATAGATTTCACAGGAGGAGGGAGAACTCTTCACACAGAGTTACTTACAATGAAATGTGTTCTCACCCTTACTGATACTCATGCCATACAGTATATATTTACCTCTGTATACATATAGACTTGTATTGTATCTTTCTACTCTCATTCTCTAGAGCACTATGTTGCTCTTCGGAGTCATCCATCTTAGGATAATTGCTTTGTTGCAGCAAAGGAACCCTTTGTAATAAGGGCTTTTAGAGAATAGAATTTTCTACTTTTAGAGAATAGAACATCTGCCAACCTTTATTTTGTCATCTTAGTTGGCTATTTTCTCTTCTGAGTTTCAACCAACTGTTGAAACCAAATGCAGACAGAGAGCCTCTGGTGAAAAGATCACAAACCCTCTTTAACTTGGGTGTCTCTCTATATAAACTACACGTATTATTGATTAAAGAAGTGAGCAGATTCTGCTTTAGTCTTATAAAAGATAAACTGAAAAAACTTTTGGGTGGCAAGATTAATATGCACTCCTTCCATCCTTGAGTCAACCAGAAAAGCATAAATTGCACAGGTCTTTCAGTCAGTTGAGCTTCATGTGCCTCGGGAACAAGGCTGGCAAGTGGTACTGACCTTACAACTTTAATATGGAAATGTTTCAAAGCAGTGATTCCTTTACTATTTTTTCTTTCATCTCTTACCCAGCACCATCTGCCACGAGAAAAACAACCATCAGTTTGTCTTCGTAACATGGCAGGGCAGAGTTGAGGGTCCCTGGACATATATTTGAAATGGAAAGTTTAGTTAACTATGTTCTGAGTGAATGCAGAGCTACTGGAATTTCTGACTAGGGAATGCTAGTCTTTCAGAAGATCGATATTCCCATGTTCAGAAATATTTGTCTAACAAGTTGGTGGGGTAGAAGAGGGAATGAGCTTTCAGGAACAGCAGCAGAGCTCCCTCCTGCTTTATCCCATGGCTCAAGTATGTTCTATTGATTTGTTAGATATTAATAAATAATTACTGCTAGTGCTAAAAATAAATAACTACTGCTAGTGCTAGTACTATTTCCAGAAGAAATAGCCTGGCTAACAAGTTGGTTGGGTTAAGGAAGGTACAGAATGGAGCAGGAGTAAGTTTGCAAGCACATAATCATAGCTTCCGTCAGCTTCATTTCATGTACTTTCTTTGCCTGACAGTCAAGATTTTTATTTATTTACAATTATAAGAATGTTACGAGCTCTTCTATTCTTGTTTTTGGAATTGCTTCCTGCTCTTCTAGCTCAGAAATATCCTTACATCTTCTTGCATTCACTGCATGTTTAAGATCTCCCCATGTTTTTTCAATAATCTTCAAGTTTGGGGACTATGAAGGCAACTATAAATGATTTTCTTTTTTCCCCTATAAGTACTTAATTTGGAAGCATGTTTCTAAAATATCCATCCTTTTTAGGATTCAGTTTCTAAACACCTTAGAAATGTTTATTGTATTTAAGAAGTATATTGTATTTAGCTTTGTACTTTGTTAGGAACTGTGCATACATGTTGGAATTTGCACTGTGTTCAGTGGGTGCCAGTTGGTATAATGCAGTGGAAGCTACTGCATATGTAGCAGTGATATTTCTGAAATAGTTTGTTTTTAATCTGTGTATGTGTTAAAATTAAGGAACTAAATTAAAAAAATAAGTGAGCATTTTTATTTCATGAGAATTAGAACCGTATACAATAGCAATAGCACTTAGACTTATAACCACTTCATAGTGCTTTACAGCACTTTCTAAGTGGTTTATAGAGTCAGCATATTGCCCCCAACAATGTGGGTCCTCATTTTTCTGACCTCAGAAGGTAGAAGATAGAGTCAACCTTGAACCTGTCAGGATTGAACTCCTGGCAGTGTGTAGACTCAGCCTGCAATACTGCATTTTAACCACTGTACCACCAGGACTCCAAAACATATCAATATATCCAACAACATATCAAGATTAATTATATTTAATTTAGTTTCTTCCCCTCAAATCTGATTTTTGTAAAAAATTAGAGAAATCACAACAGTACATTGTTTCTGATGATGTTGCAAACAACATATATTTTATGGTTCATGGATGGTTGATTCTAACTCTCCACCTATAATTCTGCTGTCTTTCCTATTACAGACCAGATGATGTATTGCTACAACGTACACATGATGAATCTGTTCTTTTGCACTGCTTCCTTTGGCCAGTGGTCACGTTCCTGGTTGGAGTCCTAATTGTGGTCTTGACCATCTGTGCAAAGAGCTTAGCTGTCAAGGCAGAAATTATGAAGAAAAGGAAACATTCCTAAATGAAGGACATCCTTCAAGAAAGGATGAGAGAATGCCAAATGTGACTGACTATCACTTCTCTGGTGTTCCCAGCAATGCCCATTCCCAGTGTATTGCCAGCTGCTGGTCTTGCTGATGCCTAGGTGACCATGCTATGACATGTTAACTAGTTGTTTCTGCCGTTATGAAAGCAAGTGTGTCTCTTCCACTAAATGATCCTAAGATGTATCAAACCTTCATTCAAACTTAATGAAATTGAAGTATCTGATGGAGTAGAGGACAAAATGTAAAAACCCAAATTGTGGTTGACTTCATCTTAGTAAATTTATCTTTCTTAATGCTATTATTTAGTCTTGAATATTTATTACTTCCTTTCTCAAAGACTGTATTTCTCAAATATTAAAAAGTGGTTGTTTTTATTAACATGTGTCCTACTTTTGTGGGAGTGATTTGCTTTAGGGTCAAAGACGAAACATCACAAAATATCAGTTTTACTGAGTATTCTTGAAATTAACAATTTAAAACTCAGTATACAGCACAATTATTTTGGGAATTGAAAATTGACTTTTGGGAAGTCACATTTTCCTTCATACGTATTTCTCTGTATGATCAAAACTTTGTCTATTGTGAATTCATATTTCTTATCAGGCCTTTTCCTGACTGTTACTCAAAAAGTAACAGGAGAAGATTCTAGGACCCTAACTAGTTTTTATTTTTGCAACTACTAGAAATGGCATAGGTAGAGCAGAAAATGAGCAGCTGGCAACTAGAAACTTCCAGCCATATATTTTTATTCTATTTTTCCCAGGTTCTAATTTTTATTCATTTTCCTGCCTGTGTGCCCCTGCCTGTGTCATGTTTCTGATGAAGCTCAGCTGGGTGAGGAGCATGAATCAGACTTGGAAGAATCACAACAGATGGACTTGCTACTTGACGCACGCAGGCGGTGTCAATTAGCCAGAGTAAGGCAACAGAGGTCAATGAAGCACTCCAAAGTAAGAACAACTGACCAAGAGTTGGTTATTTCTTAGTGGAAAGAGTGGTTGACATAGGTGCATTATTATTCTAATGAAGGTGTCTGATCCCTTTACAATTTACTTCTAACTTTGGTCTTTCAGTTCTTCATATGGCTATTAGAAGTTCCATCACAAAACAGAGGTAACACTCATGTTCAAGAGACACTACAGTGAATCCTCATGTAGTTTTTTTTTCCAGTTTATATCATCCTAAATGGTTCAAATTCATTTCATTTATCAAGTTGCCCTTGCCATACTCCCAAGAGGAACATTTTCTGCCAAGCCTCACTCGATTGCAAAGCCAAATATTATTGTTCCTACTATTGCCTTATGCAGTCATCATCTTCATCCTCATCATCTAATATTTTGTAAAATTTGTACAGAAAGACACTGTAAGATATATACTAATATAAAAATAATGACCAAAAAATAGACCATAAATGGTCCTGATTTATTTCAATTCTACTGGAATTCTCTCCTGGAAAATAGGATCAAACCAACTGCTGTTTCTTTGGAGTTCATTTCCTACTTGTCTTCCAGAAAATAATCATAGCAGATCACCGTCATTAAGTGAGACATACCCAGTTGGAGGCTAAGAGTCATGTAGAATTGGATTTAGCACATTTCTTTCCTGAGTGGTTGGGATATGGCTTTGCCCATAGGTACAGTATGCTTTCGGACTTGGAAGACAAAATCTCTGGTCCTGGTGACCAACCCAGATTGGATCCTGCAGAATTATTGCAAGGTGCCTAAAAGCAATGCTATTGATTGGATTGTTTGTTGAATCCATTATTGCTGACACACCTATTATATAATTTCTCTTTGAATCTTTTATTTTTGGGTTCCTAAGTAAAAGATGATATCTTTTGAAAGGTGCTTTTATTGCATATTTTTTTCAAACATAACCTGCTGAGCATGTATCTCATTTTAGGCACAGCAGACCGTTCTGATTTTATTCAATATTTATACTGCCATTACTTTGAAGAATTTTGCTTCACTAAACTCTGTCATACTCAGTTTTATTAAAGGATACGAATTCCCTTTCATGTGTGGCAATTAGATTTTTATTTGTTAAGGAATCTGCTTCCTCTTTGCTTTATTCAATAAATTTGACACAGGGAATTATTACAATATGTACATACATATCTTTCTTTAAATTCTGTTAATGGTATTCTGAATCTAGCTGCCAGAGGCCTGTAATTCAAATAGGGACTTTATCATTTATAAAAGATCCCACTTTAGAGGATGGATCAAAATTAAGATGTAGTGACGGAATCAAAGACCAGTCATTGCAGGGTGCAGAAATGATCTTACTGCCTTTGCAGTGTTTATTGCTCTTTTTTTATTAATAGATTTGCAAATTTAATACAATATAACCCAAACCCCTCCCCCCCTCCCCCCCTCCCCCACTTCCCAGAGCTGATTACAGGGTAACAAATAAACAATCATAATCTAATTAACATTACCCGCCTGTACTATCAATCAAACCATAACATACTTTAACTCCTTTCCAAAACAAATATTAACAAATTAAAAACAAAGATAATATAATTAAACCATAACACTAAAAATAATATAAATTCAATCATATTAAACTATTAATAATAACCTAAAATCTACTCATAAGCAAGATAATACTTTTCAGTCTCATATTTCTTTTGAATATAATCAATCCACCTTCTCCAGGCCGAAATGTATTTTTCTTGTGAATGATCCTTCAAATAAGTGGAAATTTTCGCCATTTCTGCTAAATTAGACACCTTAAGTATCCATTCTTCCATAGTAGGCAAAGAGTTTTTCTTCCAATATTGCCCCACCAATAATCTTGCAGCTGTTATAAGATTCAACATCAAATTAATTTCTTTAACATCAAAATCAACCATAATACCCAACAAAAATAATTGCGGAGTAAACTTTCTCTTAAAAATCTTTTGAATAATCCACCAAATCTTAATCCAAAAAGCTTTTATATCTCTACAAGTCCACCAAATATGAAAATAGGTTGCATCTAAACTTCCACATCTCCAACATTTGGGCTGTAAATTAGGATACATGCGGGACAACTTTGGGGGATCTAAATGCCATCTATAAAGCATTTTATAAAAATTTTCTCTTAAATTTTGAGCTTGAGTAAATTTTACATTTCTAACCCAAATTGTCTCCCATGTATCCAATAAAATTGGTTCTTGAATATTTTGAGCCCATTTAACCATACAATCTTTAACTAACTCCGTTTCGGAATCTAATTCTATTAAAACATTATAAATTCTTTTTATTTGGGCTCGAGTTTGATCTTTAATCTGTTTTACCAAATTCACATCCTCTAAGATAATACCAACCTTTTGATCTAGATTCCACCTCACTAACAATTGTATTGAAACCAAGAGTATACAATATTTTCTTGCTTCAGCTCAGTTAAAGTCTTTAATTGCCAATCCTTTTCTACCAAACTAAGTAATTCCTTGTAAGAAATCCTATCCAAATTCACACCCCTAGATATTCCCTCTATCACGTGTCCAGGAATTCCCCAAATCAGAATTTTATAATTTAACCTATAATAATACTTCTTCCAGACACGCAACAAAGCACTTCTCAAAATATGGGATTTAAAAACCTGATCCACTTTTTTATCATAAATTAAATAAGCATGCCATTCATATACTAAATTCCATCCCTCAAGAGAAAGGATATTTTTATTTGTTAAATTGAGCTAATCACTAATCAGCGTTAAAGCCACCGCGTCATAGTACAATTTTAAATTAGGCGTCTTAAGTCCTCCTCTTTCCCGTACATCTTGTATAATCTTAAACTTAACTCTTGGTTTTTTCCCTGCCCAGATAAACTTATTAATCCCCTTCTGCCATTCCTCCAAGTTAGCATCTTTTTTCAAAATAGGTATCATTTGAAACAAAAAAAGAAACTTTGGAAGAATATTCATTTTAACTGCTGAGATTCTTCCCAACAAAGATAACTGTAATTTTTTCCAATCATTTAAGTCCTTTTGAACTTTTACCCATAGTGTCTCATAATTATTTTTATACAATTTAACATTAGAAGTTGTAATATATACTCCTAAATATTTAACCTTTCTCACTATTTCAAAACCTGTTAATTTAGCCAAAATCTCCTTTTCCTTCATAGACATATTTTTCGATAATATTTTAGTCTTACTATTATTTACCTTAAAGCCAGAAACCTTCCCATACTGAGTTAAAATTTCAACCAGATCCCTAACCGAATCTGTCGGTTGAGATAATGTCACAACCAAATCATCAGCAAAAGCTCTCAACTTATAATCATTCTTATTTATTTTTATTCCCTTAATTCTAGATGATTCTCAAATTTTAATAAATAAAATCTCCATTGTTAAAACAAATAACAATGGGGATAAAGGACATCCCTGTCTAGTACCCTTTTCAATATTAAATGCTTCTGTTAATCCCCCATTAATTATAATTTGTACAGATTGTTGTTGATATATAGCCTTAAGAGCATACAAAAATTTATCCCCGAAGTTCATTTTCTCTACTACTCTCAATAAAAATTGCCAATCTAATTGATCAAAAGCTTTTTCAGCATCCAAAAATATCAAAGCCGCAGGGATTTGGTTGTTCTTGTCTAAATACTCAATTAGATTAACAATTTGTCTTACATTATATTTCATATACCTTCTAGTTATAAATCCAGATTGATCACTATGGATCAATTGCTTCAAAACTTGCATTAATCTATTTGCCAATATTTTTGAAAAAATCTTATAATCTGTATTCAAAAGAGATATAGGTCTATAATTCTTAGGCTTGATCCTCCTTTGGGATCAATGATATAAATGCCCTTCTCCAAAATGGAGGTACCTCTGCTCCTAACAGAATATTATTAAAAAGTTCTTTCAGTGGTTCTATCATTTCTTCAGATAACACTTTATAGTAAATTGCTGTTAATCCATCTGTGCCTGGAGCCTTACCAACCTTTAATTGCTTAATTGCCCAAATGATCTCTTCAGAAGTAATTAAACCATTCATCTCATCTCGTTGATCATTTGAAAGTCTAGGAAAATGTGCTTCCTGTAAATACTTTTCTATATCTGAAATTTGAATACTTTTGCTAGCATATAGCTTTGAATAAAAATCTAAAAAACTCCTTTTAATCAAATTTTGTTGATATACTTCTTTACCTTTATAATTTATTTTCTCTATAATCCTTGATTTCTGTTTCTTTCGTAGTTGGTAAGCCAACCACCTGCCAGGTTTATTTACATTACAAAATGTATTATGTTTCATATACCGCAAATTAATTGCAATCTGATCAGCTATTAACATATTAAATTGTTCCTTAAGCATAGTTATAGAGACCTTTAAACTATTGTCCAGTGGATTTAAAACAAGAGCCTTCTCCTTACATTT